GCGTCGGTCGTGTCTTCCCTCTCTCGTACGGCAAAGGGAACGTACGACGAATCCCCCCGGAGGGTCGCTAACGCGGATCGCCCCATTTTCATCCCCTCTCCCCCCCCCCCCCCGCCCGAGAATCGGGCTAGTCTCATCCCAGCTTCATCATTTATCCTTCGCGATGATGGGAAAACCAATGGTGATTAATACGGAAAACGGAGAATCGGATAACGCTCCAAATATCGATGACACCGACGGCGCCTCCTCCCTCGGCACTCCCGACATTCTCAACCCCTTTGTGCATCGGCTCGAGCTCGGCTCCACGTACGACAAGCTCAAGGTCAGTATCTCCCGAAAGCAGCTTCCTTCCCCGAGATCGATCGTCGCGCGGTCGCGTTTTTAGGGGATGCCGCCGACCACCGCCGACACGGTGGAAACGGGGTGTGCTTCGATCGCGGTGCCAAGAAAGTGCGCGTGAGTGTTAAATAATTACTTCGCAATTTACGCGAACTTTGCAGACGAGCTTGTAACTCGTCTGTCCCTGGCACTTTTTGGCAGCTGGTCCCAATTGCGAATTGATTATACGTCTAATATCAAGATATGTAATACGAAGTGTATTTAATTAAATGCCAAAATTTTCGTTAATCGGGATGAGAAGTCAAGTTTCCAGGATGTATACGACCTTGTACGAATTTGTACAGCAAACGATGTCGAGAAACTTTTAGCCGATACCAGCCGTGGCCAGCTGAGGATCAGCTTGTGAACTTGCGACCTACCGGTACCGTCATCCGTTTCTACACGGATCCTTCACGGATTATTCTGGTTGATCGACTAACGCGGTGACAATCGATGTTGACAAAATAACCGTGAAGGCCTCTGACGGATATAGTTCAAAGTCGACCTCGAAACTTATTACAGGGAGTCCCAGGGAGATGATTCGAATCGCGTTGAAAGAACCATCTTCCTCTCCGACGACTCAAACATCGCTCGCTTTCACAATTCGAACGGTAATAAAATTCGCAGCGCGTGACAGCACGCACAATCCATGGACAATACGTGTAACAATACATGTAATGATTATCACCGTTATGTAAGATCGCGCCGCAAATCCGGAATATGCGGCGTAAGTGAGAAATGTGCGAGAGTAAGAAACGTAAGAAAAATGTGGAAGGAAAAAACATTCGTGGGGTCAGGCCGAGGAGATATCGCGCGGGTACGGGTTTTTCCTCGCGAGTCGATCACTCGCGAGAGAGACTTTCACAGCGGGAATCGGCCAGGCCGATTTTAACCGTCGATTTTCGCGCGTCACTTCGACGATCGTCGTTTTTTTCCGGGATTTTATGATGATTTTCGAAAAGAGACACTTTACGACCGTCATCACCGCCGCGGATGGTCCACGGTACGAGGCGTGCGTTTAATTTCCGCCCCGCTTTCCTCGGCGCGTTCACGCGCGGATTTCCGTGCGAGTGAAACGCGATGCGAATATTGGTCACGTGTATTAACCGTGAACAAGGCCGTCACGAGTCATCGATACGTTCATTCTCGGATTAGATACCTCGATACGGCTCGGGAACCCGCGCGATTTGTGGAAAGCTTCGACGTGATGTGTATCCAGCCACGTGACCGTGTGTATTATGTTGTTCAAAAATCAATCCGCTCGTTTTGCGACTCCTTCGAGGCATATGCGACAATACGGGCCGTAAATGCAATTAATTATGTCTATACACAGATCTGTATACGTTTAGTTTTCTTTTTTCTTTTTTCTTTTTTTCCATGAAATTCCGTCCGAATGTAACTTCTTTTACATTCGAAAGCCTAAAGACCTAATCGCCTATTGACCCGGATTGCTTACGGCTAGGAAATAGAAAACGATTCTCGCACTCGTTAAACTCGTTTCTTCGTGTTGTAGGTTTCAGGTTTTGCGAAAAACGGAATCGCTCGTGGTTTTTTTGTCGTCCACGGTATTTCGCGTGCTATTAAAATCGCGGCCTACGCTTTTCTAGCCGTTAACACGGCGCGAATTTGCGCTCCTTCGTGGACCCGATGCTTTCTCTTGTTAAAACACCGGTGAAGTCTCGAACGCGTAGAAAGCCCCACATTTCTAGATGTTGCGAGTGAATGAAGAACATGAAGGCACGATTCTCGATTCTAACGGGATCCAAACTGGAATATCGTATCGTATCGAGAAACTTAAAAAAAAAAAATTACAACGAAATTATATTACGTTTTCTCACATTCACATATATCACATTCACTCTCTTTCTAGTCTCCCCTTTTGCTCCAGATGCATTTCACACATAATAATTTGCAGCGCATTCTGAATAATTGTATTGTCATATCGTTGACGTACTTCTAACACATCTTATCACGAAACAACGCGATACGGCCCTTTTAAGATTTACCCACGAGACAACTTTCTATATACAAAAATCAACTCATGACGAACGTATGGAAGGCTTCTTCGTTACTATTTGCGTGAGGTTATCGATTAGAATAACTTGAATCGAGCATTCTCATTGATCTCTCTGTTGAAAATTTTGCTTCAAACATTATTTTCTAGTTAGCGAACGAAGTTTACCTTCGGTTGTTCCTTTAATTCTTTATCCCAATTCTCTTCCATTCTCACGGAAGAGTTATGTCATAGCGATCATAATCGAGTTTGTATAGATCAATATTTATTTTATAATAGAAATTTGATAAAGAGACATTCTTGTTTCATTCTTGGTGATATCCGGCTCAGACTTGGTACGTCACACATCCGGCGCGTCAATCTCGAGTCCTCTTCGATAAGATGAAGCGAGATGGGACGAAACGACTGATGTGCGCCTAACGGAACAGTAACGAACGGTACTCGCATCCCATCTCCTTTCTGCTCTTTATTCTTTCTTTCTATTCCTTTTAACGAGACACGGGAAGGCGAAGCCTTCTGTTGGACAACCCGCAACCTTGACCGCGTGAGACAGGCGATGAGGTGGCCCGAGAGCCAATTACTTACTTACTTATTTACTTATCTGCGTGTCCCATTTTTACGATCCTGCAATGCTCGAGGTTCACTTCAGAGGACACTTCATTGACTTGATGAATTTTTAATGCCGAATTCTAAATGAGTTTTGTAATAATGTGCGCCGAGTATTAATGCATACTCGAACATTACCTTTTAAGAAAAAATAAAAAATGACGTCAAGTTTAAGTGCTCTATGTTATTTTTATGTGAAAAAACATTTATAGGAAAATTTTCATGTCCAAAAAGTCTGTTTTATAGAAGAATTTTCAAGTTTCAGTCTACAAATATTTTTTCACATAAATCAAAAATAATAAAGAGCATTTGAACTTGACGTCATTTGTTTTTTCTTTTCTTAAAAGATAATTTTGTTCGGATATCACACATTTTTTTATTAATATCAAGTAAATTATTGAACACATATTTGGAATATTTTTTTTATTGTGAAACAAACGTTACAATGTGATTGCAACATGATTATGGTTGTAGAAGATATGCGGGAAAATTACAGTGTGTTTGCAGTGCGATTGTGGTGCGACTGCGGAATGATTTGTTGTTTAAAGGAAAGGATTGCAAAAATGTTTCGGTACAATTGCGAGAAAGTTGCGGAAAAGTATAGGGAGATGCGGAAGAATTAGAATTTTAAGCACGATAACAATGCGGGAAATGTTACGAAAATGTTGCGGATAAGATGTGAAAGAACTCTAACAAAATGTGCAGGGAAAATTGCGATAAGGTTGCCGGCGAATTGCGATAAAGTTGCCGGAAGATTGCGGGAAAGGTGCGAAAAAATTATGGGGAAAACTTGCGAAAAGTTTGCAAAACTTTGCAAAAAGTGTGCGAAAAGTATTGCGGGAAGATTGAAGTATAATTTCGATACGGTTACGATGCGGTGTGAATACAATGCGGATATGATGTGTTGGAAAAACTGTGGGAAAGATGCGGAAAAATTCTAGTGTGTATGTAGAAAGACCGGGTGGTGCAGCCGAAAGGTTGCGAGAAGATTGCAGTGATGTTGACGCGGTGCGGATGCTGATGCAATGCGGAGTGAGTGCAAATGAGATGAGATGCAAAAAACAATGTAAATATTGAAACGTATGTAATCCCATAAATAGCCATACAAAAATTAAGATTTTATTAATCAAAAATTAATGTTAATGTAGTTGTCGATAAAATTTAATTATTGAAATTATTGAACTTGTATTTATGTCCGTAAAATAATAGCATTTAATTATTATATTTATCTATATAACTTTTAAATTATATAATAATAATTATAATATTATCTTATAAATCAGATTTTTTTTTATGACAACTAGTTGATATTAATTTTTAATTGATAAAATTTGTTTGTAATATTACGTGCATTTGAATTGCATTTGTATTTTTCTGTTAAATTTTTGCATTTATGGACAGGACATTTATGTGTTTTTTTTAAATATTGCGTCATTAATTACTTTTTGTATTTTTCCAAAGCCACCAGTTAATAATAAAATCAAAACTATGAAATTTGCACGTTGGGATGCTAAATACTTAACATAGGCAGATAAAATTTTGTTTTGTTTCAGACGATATTTCTAACAATCGCCCTCCTGCCGTTCAGATTAGCTGCAATCACGACTTTGATGATCCTGGCGTGGTTGTTGGCCTGCCTCGGTCTGCATGGATTGTCCGAGGAAGATCTTCGACGAGCTCCTCTCAAGGGATGGAGGCGGTATGTTTGAAGGAAATCAAGCCGAGATGATCGCGACGTGAAAGAACGTTTCTCTTCCGTAGTCCTTCATTCCTCATTCCGAGTCTATCTCTATTAAGCTTATATTTATGTTAACCGTACTCCTCGGGATCGCTTTTTAACCCTTTTCTTGGGCTGGTACGATACATCAACTTGCTTTTATTAGCAGACTAAATTCACGTTCTGAAGTTTCGGAGCTTAGAGATCCTTAAATCTCGAACTAACAATCTCCCTCTCAATCTTAAAATATTACTCGCGAGATATTCGAGAGACATTTAATAATATTTGTCTGTTATAAAGTGAACTCACGGGATCTGAATTAAACGCTCGATTGGAGGTCACGTCCCAAGGCGATCGATGGATTTTGGCTGACCGTGACAGAGATAGGGGAAAGGAAATGAATACTATTAAAAAAAATCCTTCGTTGACAAAAATCCTTCGTTGACGAGACAAGGTTGTCTGTTCGCCTTTAACAAAGTCCTTGTTCGATTTTATTACGTTAAAGTTTCGTGTTCAGTGAAACGTATCTCTGTCCTCTTGTAATAATTCACTAATGATTTGTTATCTCGCGACACTGATACTCGATCGTCTCTCTCTTTATAATTTATTGACAAAATTTACACGTGTTTTGAATTTTTTTATAATTTACACATTGAATAATTTCAGATATCTTAAATTTGCAATTGGAATCACCAAAGTGTCACGTATTGTTTAACAAAAAGGTTTCCGCATTCGATTAATGTATATCTACACAAAAAAAAATGATATCGTGATTATTTGGCAGTGAAGTTGTCGCGTATTTATATCTCTTTCATAATTTAGTCATGCGTTATTATCAAGGTCTCGAGATAAGAAAAGTCTATAAGACGACCTTGTACCGTAATGAAACATTATGACGGGTCGGAAGAAATATTCTTAAAGTATCTTTAACTATTAAAAGAGAACAAAATAATTTTTAGACAATTATAATTTTGTAATTATTTTTGAAATTATACGAGTAAATTCCTGCAACTTTTATCCTGGTATGACCTTTTTCTCTGACAATGAATATTTACCGCGTATAGGAATTGTGAATTTAGGATTTTGAATTATTTACACGTTTGGAGTAACACTATCGAAAACTTGATTTTATTTGGATAAGATAAATTAATCCTTTCTACGAAGAGAATTTTTCTATGCGATCTGTCACATTTTTAAGTGTTTCCAAATTCCTGAAGTTCCTCCAGATTTAAGGATCTCTGCAAGCTAACAGAATATATATATATATATAAAATCGAATCTCTTTTCGACTTTTGGACTTCCCTACTTTCCCAGGAAAGTCCGCTTATACAAACCCCGCTAATCATTCTAGACTCCCTTACGAGAGTAGAAAAATAGAGAATTGCATCGGACGATGGTGCATGCGCAAATTAAACCACTTAAAAACAGAGACATGCGCGTCGTGATCTGCTGGATGATGCGGGCGTTATTTCTCTGCGGTGGATTTCATCATCTGAAAGTCAAGGGCCGGAAGGCGGAAACTAAGGACGCACCGGTGCTGGCTCTCGCCCCGCATTCCAGTTTCTTCGATGCACTTCCGGTCGTGTACCTCGGCGGGCCGAGCATCGTTGCCAAAGGGGAGAGTAGTCGCCTTCCTTTTTTCGGAAGTAGGTCGCCCATCGCATTATCATCTCTTGTGAATCAAATTAATTGACAGGAGAGAAGTCGTTAAATATATATATATATATATATATTTCAAATAAATGAAATTGCAGTAGCAACTTATTACATCGGCGAAATCAAGAGAAATCTGTGAGTAGATGAATATTTTAAATTAATTTGCGACCTCTCTTCTTATGGGAACGAAAGATTTCCGCTTGACGTCATAAAACCGCAGCGTTCAGCTGGCTATTATTTTATGTTACTGTACATACAGTAATATTCGTAGATGCATATATGGTGGATGGGATTTACTTTTCAGCAACTAACTATGACAGTTTTAACAAATGTCGCTAACACGGCTTTTACTTACTGTGTGTGTGTGTGTTTTATTTTATTTGACAGACAGCGATTCAAAAGTCGCGAGTAAAGTTAAAAAGCACTAATAAAGGAGTTGCATAATTGCGCTACTTATTAACTCTCTGACGCACCTGAGTCTCCTATCTATTTATAGATAAAATGTTTGTGTGCAATATTACCTAAAAGTTAATAGATCAAGCTGCAAAGCAGCTTCGTTTTGCAGAAACAAAATTGTACATTGGTACGCATCCCGCGTTGGACAGCTGAAAAAGGAAAACGCGGATGCGCTCTCCTCGGGGGTATATATATATATATATATATATATATATATATATATATATAC